TTGTTGTTTTGATAAATTTTCAATTATTGAGAAACACCTAGTAAGCCTAATAATGTATTTGGATGTAACTAGTTTAAAGAAAAATGGAATATAAGGAATCAATTTAAATGGGATAAAAAAATAGAATATAAGAAAACTGATATTTCATTCATTCATTAAAAGTATACATATACAAAATATAATAGTGTAATATTACATATTCATTAAAATAAATGATCTTATGCAACAAAAAAAGAGAGTAAAAGCTTAATGTGTTTTTTGTCATTTTGTGGGATTTACAATTATTCAATTAAAAAACAGCTATATTTGTCATATCTCACAAATCTTTTATTGTTTATTATTTTAAAACCCACATTCCTCAAACTCTTATTCTGCTGCATTCCTCAGATTCAACTGGTGTCACAAATGAAAAATTCAGCTACATTCCTCTCAATTCCTCAATTCAGCTTGCACCAGTTAGGCCCTAAGAGAAGAAGAAATAGTTAAAATTGCTTTCTTTTAGTTTTTTTTTAAATATAATGTCAATGGCAGAGGTGGTAATAAAATTAGGAAGGGAAGGGCTGTTGTAAGGACTGTTGTTAGGGCCTAAACAGTGAACCATCTATTTTGCAATTCCAAACTTATACCCACTCAAAAATTAGGGAGAATTGGCAATTTACCCCAAAATAAAGTTTATGTCCTATTACACCTTCTCATTTCCTCTTTGTTCCAATACCCTTTTTAAAAACATTTTTCTCAGTTTTGCCCTTCATTTTCATTTTATTCCATTTTCGTTTTATAAATTAAAATTTATTAAATAAAAAGACAAATTAACAAAACTAAACTAATTAAAAAATAAACCAACAAAAAAACAAAACTTCTTCTCTCTTTGATTTGGGATAGTTTGAGGAAAAAAAAGAATGAAAGATTTGAAAAATATTCAGATGCTATATTTTCTCGATTTTCGTAGAACATGACTTCTACTAAAAGTAGAGGACGGTGATTTTGCTAGATTATATATTAGAAACACGATAGTAGAAAATAAGATTTTAGTAGAACACTACTTCTGCGGGTCATAGATTACTGTCAAACACGTAGGATACGAAAACTACCTATTGTAGATAGCAATGTTTACTATAGAACTTGAAATCTACGAGTAGTAGAACATACTTCGTTGTGTAGAAGATAGTTGGTGCAACTTCTACAAAACGGTAGATCTTATAGTACTTAGTAGATGTTACCGGAAGAGGTATGAATAAGTTGTAGATATTATGTTCTATGACCGTTAGACTTATGAATATCTTGTAGAAAACGAATTCTACTTTGATATTATCGATTTGTAGAACGAAACTTCAAATATTTTTTAAAATATTTTAAACATTTTCAAAAATGTTGAAATATTTTACACTGCCTTGAGATCATTTTTAGGATTTATGGAATTTTTTTTCACTTTAAAAACCCGTTACTTAGAGTTTCTAGAAATATCAAAGGTAATCTTGACCAAAAAAGACCAAATTCAAAAAAGGTGTAAATGGACAAGAAAAACTTCAATTTGGGGTAAATTGCCAATTCTCCCCAAAAATTAATTAGAAACATAAAATCCACCTTCTCACCAAGTTTCCATTCTTCTTATCTTTCTTTCCAAACACATTTTATTCATTATTCTCATTAACCTAGATTGTTTTTTTGTCCATTTTCAAATGTGTTTCTCGAGATATTGCATGATTAAAAATGTGTGAATATAGTTTTTTAAACCTCTAGTAATGTGGTGACAATCTAAAAAATATACTATTTAATTTTATAAATATCAACTTTTCTTTAAGTAAAAAAAATGTTAGAAAAGCTAGACAAGAACCAGAGAATAAATATGGAGTTACAACAAATACTTGAACTTTTATTTTGTTAGAAGTTGGAAGTTTGGCGTGAGAGAGCCTTTTACAGAAGGAAAATACATTTTTGCGTCAGAGAGCTTTTGGCGCGTGAGCATGACCCATGCATGATGACACGCAGAGACAGAGTCGCCAACAAATACATTTTTGGTTTTCTGCATCACAAGATCTACCTCACAAGTATCAAGTTTTTGCATCTTTATACGCAATTAGCTTTTCCTTTTTCGTTTTATAATATTACACAAATGTGTCTCAATCTCATGCACTGATCGAACCACACCTTTTTCACGTGTTATCAACTTATCATCATCAGTTCTAAATACATGTTGGTAGAAAACCAAATTCAAATTCGAGATATCATGGTTGCAGTCACTCAAGAGGATATATTCAATTTGCCTACTTTATGTATATCTTTTGACGCATTATTTAAAACAAGACTAGCTATTGGGATAAGGGAAACTACACTAGATAATTATATTGGAAACCCTAATTTAGAAACTAACCATAATTAATAATTATTTGGCTAGAATACAGCCTATATATTATGTATTAATATCAATTTTTGTCCTTCTCATTTCTGGTGAAAATCAAACTCTATACCATTTACTTTGTCTATATAGAACAAAAGGAATTGTTATTTTCCTCAATTAGATTTGATAATTATGAGTTTAGGGTTTATGGATTAGATTATGTGTTTGGTGCTTAGATTTAGAATTTAAGTTTTAATTTTTGAGTTGTGGATTTAAGATTTAGAGTTTTAAATAGAATCAACTATTTATTTTCACTAAATGTTTTTAGGTTTAGGGTTTAGTAGTTGGATTTAGGGTTTAGTATTTAGATTTAGGATTTATAATTTGGGTTTAGGGTTTAGATTTTGGATTTAGAGTTTAGATCTTGGGTTCAGGGTTTAGATTTTAGGTTTAGGGTGTAAAATTTGGGCTAAGGTTTAGATTTTGGGTTTTAGATCTATATTTTAGGGTTTAGAGTTCATGTATTAGATTTTAGGGTTTAGAGTTTTTGGATTAGAGTTTAGATTTTAGAGTTTATAGTTTTTGGATTGGAGTTTAGAGTTCTTTTTTTGCTATTTTTTAAAACAAGTGGTTAACAATTTCGCAAAACCGTACTATTTTTGCTTTGCTTGTAGAATGGTATGAACATTTTGTGTGTATGGTATGAAAATCTCATATTGAGTTACCACAAGGGCAATTTCGTCCATAAAAAGTTTTTTGGTTAGTTTGTATCTGATATGGCTATTTTCTTAAATATAGTACTCAATATAATTATTAAGCTAATTGATCTGGGATAACATGTTAACAAAAACTCCTTTAGTTGTGAGAGTGTTTACGTATACATTGCGTTTACGTAGAAAATAGCTGTAATAAATTCTTTGAAACCACACTATATCAGAATCAATCCAAATATCACAAAATTAACAATGTATGTAAACACTGTTAATGTAAATTCATGTTCCAGATTAATAAAATATATTCCACCAAACTTCAACAAAGACGATATGTAATGCCAAAATTAAAATTGCAAGACATTTTTTGTTTGAACTTTGTTATGTTCTAAGCACGAGACTGGATCCCGTTGGTTAGTCCTAACACTTTGGATGTAGAGTAGATATCGAAAATCCGACTCGGTTAGGCGAACTTTACCATAGAAATAGGGTTGCCCGCCTATTCCCCCCAACTAAAATGTTTCCATCGTGATCCACACTGACTTTTGAGCCCCTTTTATTTCCCCCAAACTTATAATCTCTGTCGGTTCCCCCATTTGCGTTTTAAAAAACAAAATCCAGTTTTCGGAACAGTGATTGCCCGTTTTAACTCAATTGACCCGGGTTTTAAAACGCAAACCCGCGGTTTGTCTAACAAATCAGACCCGATTACATCTAACCCTAACCCGCAACCTTTTTCCCAAAAAATTAAAATCGATTTGGGGAAATCGAAAGGGGATTAGGGTTCGTCGATTCTGGGGTTGAATATTGTTCCATGGAGAGGAGAATTAGACATCTTTTATTCCGACAGAGACAGGAAGGTAAGCTAACTATAATTCCGAATTGGTTTCTTTGTCGAATTCTTGGGTGATTTCGTTTTTTGGTTCAAGTGATTGTCATCATTGTTGCTGGTTTCTTTTTCGAATAGGGAACAAAACAATGAGTAGTTCATCTTCAGCTTCATCTCGTCTGACCAACAGAAGATCAGTGTATGGTGTTCCATCAAGATGTTGGTGTGGTAGGAACCTTGTGACTTATGCGGCTCAGACCAAAGACAATCCTTTCCGTCGATTCTACAGATGTGCAGTTGCATTACAGGTACAAACCAATCGAAAACAATGTACACATATATGAAAGAGTTATGTAATTTTATGTAAATTGTGTGTGTAGAGGCAAACAGAAGAGCATCTTTTCAAGTGGATTGAGGAAGCTTTGGTCGATGAGACTATAATGGTGGAGAGAAAGCATTTGAGTCTTGTTGACGAGGTAAAGGAATTGAGAGGAAAAATGGTGGAGAAACTGGAGCTAGAAGAGAGGATGATCCGTAAGATGGTTGACGAAAGAGTGAAAGAAGAGCTAGAAGAGGTGAAAGCAAAAATGAAAGAAGAAATGATGATGGCTGCTGAAACTTTGCAGAAGATGGCTCGAAAGATGGCAAAAACGAGCATGCAAAAGGTTGGGATTACATTGTTGGTTGTAGGAACCATTGCTTGCATTTGTGGGAAGCTTATGGGCTAGATTTGTGGGAAGCTTAATGTGTGTTTGTTTCATTTTGTGACATTGTTGTTGGATGGAAACACATGTACTACTTTGTTGGATTCGTTTCATTTTGTTGGATTGGTGTGAAAACCTTATTATGTAAACTCAATTTGCATCTTTGGAAATGTTTTGTCTTACCCACTTTTAATATTTCTAAGTTGTTTGAAGTAAATGTGTTCACCAATATCTTTCTATCTCAATTGAAAATAGCATTAATAATCCAAAATGAACAACAAAAGAACATCCACATAATTCCAAAGAAAGACAAGAGTGAGCATTCATAATCCAAGAAAGAACAACAAAAGAGGAATCACAAGAAGGAATCACAACAAAAGAAGAACAATTCCTAATAAGAGGAAACCGAATTCCAAGTTTTAGTCTGACATTTGAGATGGTTGAGTGAGTGACATGGTTTCTGGACCTTGAAAAGCCCCATTTCCAGCTCCTTGAGATGAAGTATTGGCCTGAAAACCGAAACATACACATAAAATCAGAGACAAGCAAACTCAAAACCAATCAAAATCAGAGAGAAGCAAACTCACAACCAATCAAAACCAGAGACAAGCAAACTCAGAACCAATCAAACATACACATAAACTCTCAAAACTCAAAACCAATCATATTATCAAACTCATAACCACTCGAACTATCAAACTCATAAACTCATACACATAAACTAGGGAAGATACCTGGTCACTTGCTTCTTCTGTCATCTTTCGTTTCTTCTTTGGGTGTATCTTACATCTAGCTGCATTGTGACCAGCTTCACCACACTTGGAGCAATGCATAATTCGACCAGTCCTTTTGGTTTTCTGAACCTGCCTTTTTTTCTTTTTTGGTGACTCAAACTTACCCTTGATTCTTTTTTCGCCTTTTTTGGACTTCTTCTTTTTCTTTTTTTCAGATCCCTCTCCCTCTGGAGGATCTTGTTCCGGAGGAGCTACCACCAGCCTATGAGAACCAGCCATCCAGAAACCTGGTCCTCTCATTGGCTTGACATTATCACTATAACAGTCTCGCTGTTTACCTGTATAGAAGCACTCGTAGACATAATCATCTGTGTCTAAACCATCATCTAACATCGCTCCATACGCATGCTCACATGGGATGCCTGAGATCTGCCATTTAAAGCACGAGCATGTCTTATTTTTCGTGTCTACATGACATCTATCATCATAAAGATCCACCTCAAAGTTCCCATGACTCTCACGACTGACCACGCATTTGTCAGCGTGTTCCTTCAGCTCCTTGAGGACCAATTTGACATACTTTGTACACCTACCATCCCATCTTTCAGCCTTCTTCTGTCTCTTTGCATTTCGAACCATTGCTTGCCTCCTAATGGTCTCAAGCATTGGTATTATGGCCTTACCTCTTGCCTTTGTAATAGTTGCATTGAAAGATTCTGTTGAGTTGTTTTCCACCTTGTCGCAGAAGCTACCAAGCTTGAAAAAAGCTAATGTCCAATTCCTTGGCTCCATTTTCAAAACATCTTCAAACAGAGACACATCATACTCTTTTAGCTTCTGAAGATTCTTTCGGTATGCAGTCATAGTACAGCTCCAAGCAACATTCCACACATACTTCTTCAATAAGTCTTTCCCGGCATGGTTCTTCTTCAAGTTCTCACAGATGTGCTTCACGCAAAACCTATGCTCTGCCTTTGGCAACTCGGCTTTAACAGAACTAAGTAGTCCCTTCAAAAAAAAAATCAAAGTTGTTAGGACAAAACTGTATAAAGCGAATGAAACTGTCAAAAAATCAAAGTTGTTAAGTCTAACTTACCTTGCATCTGTCTGAAATGATGACATATCCACTGCCATCTTCAAGCCCCAAATCAGCCTTTAGGTTCTTCATAAACCATAACCAATTGTCCCCTGTCTCAGCTTGTACCACAGCCCAAGCAATCGGATAAATTTGATTGTTAGGGTCATGTCCAACCGCTGTCAACAAACAACCTTTCACTATGCCTTTGAAGAAGGTTCCATCTAACCCGATGATAGGACGACAAGAGCTTTTCCATCTGGTCCTAAGCTTCTCAAAACACACATAAAACCGACTTAAGACATCTTGGTTTTTTGCATTCGGATATGTTTCAACAATGGCCGTTGTTCTTCTCGTGATGCGTGAGTATCTCTTCGACATATCCACGAAATATGTGCAAATTGTTGCTCATACTCTCTGTCGAGCCATTTCAGAGCTAGCAACCTTCCATTCTGGCATTGATTCGTTGTGCTTACAAGCCTCCAAGTTTCTTTGATGTACTTCTGCATTTTGATAGGCCAAAAGTTAGGCTTTTGCCTCAACTTGTGCAAGAAAAGCTTTGCAATGACTGGAGCTTTAAGCATCTTGCATCTCCTTTAGGCGTGCAGCTGTGATATCCACACTTTGTCTTTATAACCCACTTCCCATGCGGCTCATCATACGAGCAATAAAGCTTCCACTTGCATTTTCCTCCTTCACCACATTTGTATCCAATCTTCGTCTTGTCCCATCTATTTTGCTCAATATTCTTTGCATTCGCCAAAGCATAATCCAAAACGGCTTCCTTGAACTCATAACCTGACCAAAAAGTAGCTCCTAGAGCTAACTTATCAACCTGAGCATATCTCTTCATTCGTCTCTTTCTCAAAGCCAAATCATCTTCTTCTTCACTATCTGAACTCTCTAGAATTGTCCTTCTGAAATCTACTTCCTCATCAACAAAACTAGCTACAGCATCCTCAATCTCCATATCATATCGCGCACCAATGTCTTCTTCATCTTCCAAAACCTTAGATTTACCTTTTTTATCCTTTTTCCTCTTAGCTTCCCTCAAAGCTTCCTCTTTCTCGCTATCAATCTCGCTTTCATTTCCAGCATCCTTATCGCTTTCATCTGCAGCAGCCTCGCTTTGATTCTCCTCAGCCTCCTCGCTTTGACTTTGATTCTCCTCAGCCTCCTGGCTTTGATTCTCCTCAGCCTCCTCGCTTTCACCCTCACCAATCTCGCTTTCATTCTCCTCAGCAGAAGGAGCCTTCTCGCTCTCAGCAGAAAGAGCCTTCTCGCTCTCAGTTTCAACAGCAGCAGACTGTTCCAAATTGACATCAGCCTCCTCACCATCTTTTCCCTTTTCCTCTTGCTCGATGAACACATCAACTTCACGACAAGTTGACATAGCCTGACTACACATTCTCATAAGCTCTGAGTCACTTGCCACGACACCAATACACTTCAGTGTATCCATGCTCTCGTGATGGAGCTTCCACCAAACTCGCTCCACTAAACCACCTTCTATCGAAAACTCCTCACAGTAGCCATCAAAACACGACCAGGTCATCAAATCAGGATCAACAACAATGCCCTGCTTCGAAGCTCCTCCATTGTAACTGAATCTACCACCGATTATCTCCATAAGTCCTCCATAATGCAAGTTCAATTTCAAAGTGTCGAAATGACTGCAAATAAGCAAAACCATGAGACAATCACTCCCACAATCACCCTAAACAACTACTCTAAGTGTCAGCAGAACGAATTTAAACGCTAAAACGAAGAAACAATACCTCATCGGAAATGCAGTTTCCTTTCGTGACTACCGGAGAACGACGACGAAACAGGAGAACCGACCAGATGAGAACGACGGAGCAACACGGGGGAGAACACCGAACAGAGGATTTAACCCCGAATCTATCCCCTTTTGATTTCCCCAAATCGACGAACCCTAATCCCCTTTCGATTTCCCCCAAATCGATTTTAATTTTTTGGGAAAAAGGTTGCGGGTTAGGGTTAGATGTAATCGGGTCTGATTTGTTAGACAAACCGCGGGTTTGCGTTTTAAAACCCGGGTCAATTGAGTTAAAACGGGCAATCACTGTTCCGAAAACTGGATTTTGTTTTTTAAAACGCAAATGGGGAAACCGACAGAGATTATAAGTTTGGGGGGAAATAAAAGGGCTCAATAGTCTGTGTGGATCACGATGGAAACATTTTAGTTGGGGGGAGGGGGGGAATAGGCTGGCAATCCATAGAAATAAGAAATTGAAGACAACTGATTACTATGACCAAGTAAATCATTAGTGGCCCACACTTCAATAGTGAGAAAACCCAACAACAGCGACAAATCGTTTGTTTATTGTGTAATAATAATCTTAACGTTTTGAGAGTATGAAGTTGTACGCTGCTTGTAGCGTTGCTTTATTTTTAAGTTTTTCCAGTCAATCATTCAACCAAGAGTACGTGACACGTCATGTGCAATGTATAGTTTAGGCATCGATTATCAATTATCCGGTGTTTTTAATTTCAACAAACCAACCTGAATTTTGGGTCCATCATATTTGGACTATATGTCAACTCAAATGCCGTTGCCGGTTAAGTGTTTGCGTCAAATAAAAGTAAACCGGACGGTTTGAAGATCACCGCGTGAAGATATGAGGGAGAGTCAAAGATGATTCTTTTAATTTAGTCAAACATTGTTAGTTTCCCACATACTAGTGTAACAATATTTAATTATTTAGTACCAAAACTGTTTCTTTCGATTTTTTTCAGTTTGGGGATTTGACTTTTGATTCTTGTAACTTGAATAAGTCTTTATTCATGCACCGCCTCTACCTCTTATTAGTACTCTCTCTACCTCCACCAGTCCACCATTTCAATATGAATACTGTTCAAACCTTTGAATGGTATAGATTCTTATTCTTTGATCTTAACAAACTAAAAAATATCAGTCGAATATTTTCCTTTCTGGCTCCTACAATTTACATTCATCGAGCAAGGGCCGAGCCATTGTATTAAGACACAGAAATTCTGAACAAATCGGTTAACTTCATATATAGAGGATTCTATACAATGCATATATATTATTTTCTGAATTGGCTAAATTTATTTTTGACACGAATCTTGGTATGTAGATATTTCCAAAGAAAGGATTAAGCTTTCCAAATCAATATATTGGTTGGTAGTTATAACCTTTTTCTCTACTTTTGGTCAACTATTTAGTAGTTATAACAAATCTATCTTCTAAAAGTAATTAACCAAAAAGCGAAACGTGTACCATAAGATGACCATGACTACGACCACAAAAATCTAGAATATTGCCACTGGAAATGAAGAAAAAGTCATTATAGCCGACCTCTAACTTTTTCTCACCACTCTTTGCACACGTGTTGCTAGGTCAATCCAAACGTGCCCAAATTACTTTCACCCTTCAACCCAAAAAAACATTTTAGATACTTTCCTCACAACTTTGGTCCCAAATATAGTTAAATTAAAAAGACAAAAAAATTGAAGTTGTAATTATCTAATCGCCACCCTCACTCTCTTTCACACTTTCCCACCACTTGTCACGCAACTTCCTCTCCTTACTCCACCTACTATATATTTATTCACTCTCTCTTTTCTTCTTCTTCAACAATTACTTCAATTACAAGCTCTCCTTCTCCAGATTCCACAGAGAGAGAGATCTTCAGTCTTCTTCAGCTAAACTAATGGCGCTCGAGGCTCTCACATCACCGCGATTAGCTTCTCCGGTTCCTCCTCTGTTTCAAGATTCTTCAACCTTCCATGGCGTCGAACACTGGACCAAGGGCAAACGATCTAAACGATCCAGATCCGATTTCAACCAACAAAACCTCACCGAAGAAGAGTATCTCGCTTTCTGCCTCATGCTCCTCGCTCGCGACGGCAACCGTACCCGTCTGACTCTACCTCCTCCGGTAGCTGAGAAGTCATCGTCGGCGATCTACAAGTGCAGCGTCTGCGACAAGTCCTTCTCTTCTTACCAAGCTCTCGGCGGGCACAAGGCGAGCCACCGGAAAAGCTTGTCTCAGACTCACTCCGGCGGAGGCGATGATCAGTCGACGTCGGTGACAACCACTTCCGCCGTGACTACTGGAACTGGAAGTGGGAAATCGCACGTCTGCACGATCTGCAACAAGTCGTTTCCTTCCGGCCAAGCTCTCGGCGGACACAAGCGGTGCCACTACGAAGGGAATAACAACAACAGTAGTAGCGTGTCGAATTCCGAAGGTGCGGGGTCCACCAGCCACGTCAGCAGTAGCCACCGTGGGTTTGACCTGAACATCCCTCCGATACCGGAATTCTCGTCGGTCAACGGAGACGACGAGGTCATGAGCCCGATGCCGGCGAAGAAGCCCCGATTCGACTTTTCGGAGAAACTTCAACAACATTAAAGGAAAATTTTAATTAGAGGATCAGAATTTTATTTGCTCTCGTTTTGGATTCTTTAGGAATTTGTTGACTGTACATACAAATTTCGATTTGATTCATTCCTATTCTTGTTCTTATTCGGTTAAAAATATTATAGACTCATTCTTTATTACTAATCGAGACATGTTTCAACTTTTACTTGAATGAATTCATACATGCCACAAAGTACAACTCTGTTTTAAACTAGAAGGGGTTGCTAACAGTCTACCAACCACATTAAACAAGAAGTAGAAGGGACCATACTCACATTTTTGAATTTCTAAGCAAATAAAACAAGATGTTGACTAAAATCGTACTTTCATTTTCAGTTGATGATTACAAGTTTGTTGCATTATAGAACAAGAGTAGCAACCAAATTTTACAAGCCAAATATGCTCTCTCCAAAGATTAGACAGTAAGTTGACGATTCTTATAAATGTTAACCAAACAAGAAACTAGCATACAGAAATGTAGTCTGCTTATAGGTAAACCTTATCAAAAATTTCATCATATAGAAACTCTTCATCTATATTTTGTTTTTGCGGTGTCCTCCTCTGTCATCTCTGCAGCCAAAGATACAAGTGTATTCTCAAAAACGGTAACTAATTGCACACAATGACAGCAACAAACTTAAAAATATGGGAAGAAACCCTTGTTACGAGTTTATGATACTGAGACTATGCATGTACTTCTGTTGTGTCCTTCTCCACCACATTTACTGCACCTATGTTTCTGAGGCTTTGACCCTACTTTACCAGACTCTCCAACCGACCGCCTTCTCTTTTCAGGTGGTCTCTCACTGCTCTGCCTAGTAACTGGAGGTGCAGATAAAGTCTCAGTCCCAAGCTCCGGAGTCCCTCTCATCAAATTTTGAGCTTGCTCTTTTATTCTCCAAGCCATTTTGTATTTGATTTCTATACCATGCTCTTTCCTGACTTGCTCCATAATCTGTCTTGGTTTGAGTCCATCTTTCTTCTCTCCGTAGTTTCTGCTGAATAAGGTTCCAATCAGTTTCGCAGTTGCTTGCCTATGGTTGGCATTCCCCTGTGTGGTATCACAAGTATGTTCACGAACATATCTCTTCACCAAAAAGCCGCCAGAAGAATCAATCCTGGTCGCACGCATCTTCCAACTGCATTTCTCATCCACACACCCTAACATCACTCTTGATTTGTCTGACCAACGAGTCCTGAACACAAACTTCCCATTTAGTGCCCGTGCTCTCATCTTGAGCATCAACTCTTGCTTGTTCTTGAAATACTTGTTCACATGTATATCATCATCAGTCACTCCGTTCAAAACCGGGGTAAGATCTGGAGCAGCATTCAAAAGTAATGGCTGAATTTCTTTGTTCTGTGCTGCGGAATCTGACATGTCACTTTCAACTGATCGATCAAGTCCCTACAAAGAGAAATCAAATACAAGTAGATCAATATGTTTAACACTGAACAGTAAAGAGTTACCGAGGAATGTTACCTGTTGCGCATTAGATTCATCACCCTTTAGTATTTGCAACACATTACGATTCTCTTCACCGTCTGTGGTCTTTGACTGAATGCTGCTACCAACATTCTCAACAGGAATGGCCCTGTTGCAACTCTTACTCACCTAAATTCATATGGTACAAAGTTAACATTAAAATAAGAAGTAATTGAGCTATTCAGCTGCATTTGTCCACTCACCGTTACACATAAACGAATCAGACCGTCATCTTCTTTGATCTTGTTGATGAAATATCTTACTTGGCGATCATTTCGCATAAATATCGGAGGAAAATCATCCCCTGCCACCGATTTCATCTTCAATGGAAGCTCAAAGCTGAGTTTAATATCCTCGTTTTTAACAGAAGCATCAATTCCAAAGTCTTCGATAACCATCGCAACTAACTCTAGGTATGTGACATTCTCATCTACTTGGTAAAACGATGCTCCTTTGTCCGGATCTACTAAAAATGCACATGGGAGGTTATCGTTAAATTTCCACTCTCCACAAACAGAATAGATCTCCACCATCATTTCCTGAAATTAAAAAGAAAAGCCGAGCAAAGAACCCATCAAGCCATCGTATTATTTGAGAAACGATCAAGCAATAGGATTACAAAAACTAGATAAGTGGATTGAATGCTATCAAAATGTTAAAGAATCCACACCAAAAATCTCAAACACAAGATGCATAAACCCTAATGCGCTTTAAAATTTCAAAAATCAAATTAAAATTGCTCCAACAAAACAATGAATTCATTCGTGATTCCACAGTTAGGGCATTGTAACTCAGAAATGGGAGTCTCTACAACAACAATGAACGCTAAACATATTCACTGGAGATGTAAATTTGTTCCTCTAAGCCAAAAACATAGACAAAGGAAGATACCTTACAATCAGAGAGAAAAGATGACGGAAGCGTTTCTGATTGGAGCCGAAGGAAGCGCCAATTATTGACTTCCTTTCACGATAATCAGGCAGAGAAAACTAGACTCGGAATCGATTTCGTCGATGTTCAGTTCTGATATCGATCGATTATGAGTGTTGTTCAGGTGAAAACAAAACACTTTTTGGAAATCGATGATTTGATTGGAAGAAAATCTGCGTGCCTTTAATTTGATTCAATAACAACAAAACTCAGAGGAACGCCGCGCAGTGTTCTACGAAGAGGGAAAAACGACACGATGTTTCTCATCAGCATCCCCCTCTATATAAAGACTTGCCCCAAATTTGGAAAATCTTGGATGCAACAAATCATTTTCCTTCATAATTTCCCTCTTCGCTTGAGCTCTTACTGTTGGCAAAGCGAGTTTCCTCCATGGATCCTTCCATTATCAAGCTCCTCGAAGAAGACAAGGTTAGGCTTCGAATCGCCGCTCTCTGTTTCAGCTCCGCATTGTCTTCGGAGACCTACATGAGCATCTTGATTTTGATTCTCAGCGAATTGTGTCGATTAGGATGATTCTATCCATTCGGAAAATGACGTGGCTGCGTTCCAGGCCTCTCTGAATCGAGAAATCGAAGGTTTGTTGGGAAACCTAATTCATATTGCTGATTTGCGGAAAGTATAAACGGGAGATGTCTTTTGAGGCTATACGAGGAACATTATGTCAAATTCCTTAGATTTCTTGAACTATTTTAGATGCAAGTTTATATTCTGCTTTTGTTTGGTTAGTCATGCTAGAGATATCTTGGATGATGCTTTAGTGCTGTTTCATCAATTGCTTTGGAAATGGCCACTTTATAATTACATAAATGGAAAAAGCTAACCTGTGATCTTTGGAGAGAACATGGATTTTTCAGCTTCATAGCCTCTTTTGTTTGTTTTGTGTCTTGAGCTGATTTTCCCCTTTGTGTGATAATGAATTACTATAATTATAAGTTTATAACAGACGTTCTATTATTTCTCAAGGAAAAAACCATTCTTCGAGTCAGCAGTCTGGAACAGGCAATAATGGTACTGGAGATGCTAATACCAACCTCCATATCCTTGAGAGTACTCAGATGAAAGAGCAACATCAACGATCTGTTTCAGGCAATCAAAACCAAGAGTTAAAGCGAGAAAATGAGTCTCATTTACAGCACCTCTCGTCTCAGGACCATCATCAACCAGGTCAACTCTTGGAGAATGCTTTCCATGTTCCCAAATCAACTAACTTGCAGTCTAGAAACAACCATATAAGTACCCAGCGGGCTCATGGTGTGGAACAGCCTGTTGGTCCTGTGCATCATGGTCCTGAGAAAGCAAAAGTTTGTGAATTGCTTTGTATCTTGGTAGAACTAGTTGACGAAGGTAGAAAGATGCAGCTTCGTAACCTGTATTGGCAATTCAAGGTGGGGCTTCTCATTCATGATATGACTTGTCACTATCATCTAGGACTCTCAATACATTACTTTTCGTTTCCATACTTGTTTGCAGAGACAAGAAATTAAAGCACAAGGGCTCATTCGACAGGTGAGGCATGTTGTAGGTGAGAAACAAATGAGATTGGCACTTAGCAAACTGCACAAGTTCAAACAGGTAAAACCCTTTGGCATTTGTTATGTCTTGCAATTGTTAAAACCTGAATTCATATTGAGTATTAAAGTACCTGAATCTTGCAATTTTCTTAGCATTCATAAGCACTTCGATGATTTTCATTTAGCTATTTCCAAGTAGAATTTAGTTTTCCAGAAAGAAATCTCACTTGTGAACCCTAACGAAAAGATAAAATACCATTAACAACTCTCACTTGCAGAATGCTGTGTTACTGAGTCATTCACCATAGGATAGTACAAGCTGGATACTTCTTGGTTTGGAATTGTGGCTATCTGATTTCATATGAAATATATATATGTGACCAGGGAAATAAGGGAATTGAAGTACCTGAAGGCCCAAACCATTACGGAGAGTCATTTACATCTGCTGGTATAAACTATTCTCCTGATGCCATTTACTTTTGAGATTATCATAGAACTTCATAACCTTCAGGGTAGATCTTATCTTATGATATCCATGTAGCATACAACCAATCCCTGATACAGTCTCTTAACTGTAGAAACCAGTGCTAAAAATTCTGACCCTCGTGGAGTTCATGTTAGCCAAGTGCCTTCTACGAGTTCTGGGACCTTAAGCAGTTCAGCTACTGAGCAGGCTTTACACAATTTTGAGAGGCCAACTTCTGTAGATGGTCTAAGTAGCGCTCATGGTGGCCTTATATCCCACTTCCAAAACAACTCATCCTTGCCTCTATATTCTGCTCCTTGTCAAGGATCAGCCACTAAGGACCAGACAATGGGCCCTTCCTCATCAGCGGTACATGAGAAGCAGAAATCGATTGATCAAAGTTTTTACCAGGAACAGGAGCCTTGTTCTTTGGTGCACGAAGGCATGTCTAATGTTCCAATGAAACAGAGCAATGGTAACCCATGGAGGTCAAATGATGACTTGGGGAAGCAGTCTTGTAATAAAATGGGTTTATCCACATCTACCACTAATGCAAGCTTTGTTTCTCCTTCAATGACAACACAAATGGGCTCTAGCACAATGGTAACTTATACATTTTACTCTCGAAAGACAGATTGGAATGCTATTTGGTTTATCTTCTCATTAAACTCATAGGAGCGACCATCCCTCTTTCAAAGATGTCTCATTTTGTATTGTTTTGCTTATATCTTAGACCACTGGCTTCTGTCTGTCTTTGTCTTGGCTTTGAAGTTTGATTGTAGTAAATGAACTATCTTTCAAACTGAAAATTTATTTGTGTGCTGTTCAGGTTAATTTCCCTGCACCATCTGGAAACATTCCCGCAGAAGCTAAGGTTAGGAAGACACCCAAAAAGCCTTCTGTTGGTCGGAAGAAACCTCTTGATGCACTGGGCTCTTCGCTGCCACCATCGAGGTAATAGAACTGGCTGGTTTGTGAAAGAGTATTTACTCTTCCTTTTTATTTTCATTTTTTGATAAACTCCTATATCATTTATATGCAATCTATAAGAATTTTTGAAGTCTAATAGAATTGGTTAACTTACAGCAAGAAGCAGAAAACATGTCAGACTTCTTTAGATGGAAGTATGGAACAGTTTAATGATGTCACTGCACTCGGTGGCATTAATCTCGAGGTATGTTTTCTGGTAGCTGCACTTCTCAATTTAAACCTGGATATAAAGAAACGAATAAACCAGTTTTATTTTTCTGCATATGTTCTAGGAAGAGGAAAAAAAGTTATTGGTTTCTGGAGCTAGAAAGCACGGTCATGTTTCTGTAGCATCTCGAAGGTTTGTGCATGAAGAGGAAGAAAGAAGGATTTTGCAGAAAGTTCCACTGCAGAGAAAGCTGGCAGAAATCAGTTGGGTTTCAACCCATCTCTTAGCTGCTTCTTAGATCTTTACTTGGAATCACTTGGAGAAGAAGTTTATATATACTTTCGTATATGACAGTGGCAAAAAGTGGTTTAAAGTATATAAGTGATGATGTTGAACGGTGCTTGTCTCGGGTGAGATGTCAAATTCTTCTGAGGAATTATAAGCTTACAATTTACTCTTCTTGTTTCTCACGGCTTTGTATATTCAGTGTGTAGAGGAAAGGATGCGTGGATTATTGTCTAATATAGTCCGAGTATCAAAGCAGGTCAGTCTACTTTCTTCTCCAGCCTGCTTAAACCTTGTTGTTTCAAAATCTTTGTGAAGTTAACAGAGCTTTTGCAGCGGACTGATGCTGAGAAGTGTAGAAATCGGACTTGTATCACATCTGATATTCGGAAACAAATTGAAGAAATGAATCAGAAGGCGAAAGAGGAATGGGAAAGGAAACATGGTGGAGAAGAAAAGCTTAAGGTTTGTCGTGAGCTCAATATCTCATTTCTTATTTACTGGTAATAAACTCTTGTTTCTTTCTTTTTAATAATTATTAACGTTCCTTGATGTAGAATGAGGAAAATGATACTTCAAAAGAAGATGCACGTTCAGAACAAGTGAAGGTATTTAGAAACAGAGCCACCTAAGTGAACCTTTGGACATATATACACTGAAAGAGGTTTTCCTAATCAGGCAAAAACGGGGGAAGTAGCTAAAAAGAGAGCTGAGGCTGCAAATGCTGCTGCTCGTGCAGCCGCTGGAGGAGATGATACGTTTTTAAAATGGAAATTCATGGCCGAAGCACGGCAGAGACCTTCTTCAGGGACAGTACGAAACTCCAAGAAATCTTATCCTGAAACTGGTGAGCCTGATTATTTCTTTGGGTTCTTGTGACTGTTTGATGAGTTCTTTTAATCTATGTGATTAAAGTATAGTGTTCCAAATTGCTGATTCGAGTTTTGTTTTATCTGTAGGTGGTACAAGATTTGGGAAGAAACAGGGTTCACCAAAAGTGGTTCGATCAATCTCTGTGAAGGATGTGATTGCTGTTGTGGAAAAAGAGCCTCAGATGTCCAGGTCGACGCTACTGTATCGCTTATACAATACAATCTTCTCGGATGTTGCACACCAAGAGAAGACATAGAGGTTCACAGAAACTTTTAAGACAATCATAAAACACTTTTTTCTTATTCCAATAAAAAGTGACGCCATTACAAACTCCTAAGCATGATCAAGATGCTAAGTACATCCTTATTCTTCTTCTTAATTCTACTACCTAAAGAAAGCTGCTTGCTTTTTCTAGTTTTTGTCTGATTTCTTCATGCTGGCTCCGTTGTGTCCATATCCACCACCACCACCACCGCATGAACCACCACACCCACCACCACCACCACCGCCGTATCCGGGACCAACTCCTCCGTTGCCTCCATCCCAACCCATACCACCACCACCACCAAATCCACCACCGATCACTACTCCAGCACCACCACCACCACCACTTTGCCCGTATCCACCACCACCACCTTGCCCGTATCCACCACCATAGCCTGGGCCGCCGCCTCCATAGCCGCCGGTTGTGAGTTCACCTTTAAACCCGGTTACGTGTCCGATACTCTTTCCTTCTGCTTCACTCCTCATGAAGGCACCATCTCTTGCAGCAATCATATGGCCAATGAGGCATAGATACAAGGAAACAAGAAACCACAACATCACTCTGCCCATGATGATGGCTGCTTAGTTATAATATTTTTTTAGTTAAGAATCTGAGAATAAAGTTAGAAGAACTTGTGTGTGTGAATACAGAGCTACACACAAGATCACTATATATATACAAGCACTAATACAAAAGTGATGGTTAGCATGGTTGCGCCAGTAGAGAGAGAGGTGCGTATATGGTGGCTCACCGAAATGGGTTATCCGGAGAGGGGTTTGATTCGCGTGATTTATTTTTACACGCCTTTTGAGTTTTGCTGTGTTTTTTTTCCCATTATTCATTTTGCAGTCTCATCCATTTATCAAAAATTTAAATAAAAGTATTTGTTACATCATATATTAGAGTCATAGCGAGAAATTAACATTGACTAGCAATCTAGTGATCTTTTTTTTTGGCTAATATGTATCTATCTTTGGTTGAAAAATGGAACTAAAGTTCTCTTTAATCAGCTTGTTTTAGTACTTCTAGCAACGGTAAGGAACGTGTAAAAATATCAAACAAATTCTTGAAAAGAAGAAACGTCACTAAACACAGTTACAGTGTCGTAATATTACAAATTGAGAACCGAATTTTGATCTACATAGCTTATCAAAAGTAAACAGAGATGATAAACGATTAATGAACAGACACTAGATTGGAACCGCAGGTTTTCATAGGGATAATCTTCAACTTCAGAATTTTATTCAGAGTTCTCTTAAATTGCGGAGGCTTTGCTGGAAAAATATTGAATTTCAGAGGCTTCTTCTTCTCTGAAACATCTCTCTGTTTCTTGGAAACTCGTCTGATTCTCAACTTCAACTTGAGAGTAGAAACGAGTTTCTTCTCTCGTCAGTGTTATGCTTCTCCGTTTGCTTCTCATCTTCTTTTAGAAACCGGTGACGCAACAGGCCACACGCGCTTCCTCTCTCTCTTCGTGATTCCTTGAGAAACAAGTTTCGATAAACTCCTTTGCCTCGCAAGGCAAACTCTGTGGCATCTCTGGAGCTTTACCATCACGGAGGCGAGTCGTTAGATCACCTAGTTTAACACCTTCCCATGGAATCACACCTGTGTGCATCTCCAAAACTATGCATCCTACAGACCACAAATCTAGGGTTTTCTTTGCGACGCCGTCACGGAGAGACTCCGGCGGCATGTAAATCAGCGTCCCAACAAACGGGAAATCGATTTCCCAGTAATCAGGAACTTGTCCTACTTCTAACGTGTTCCCGAAATCCGAGATCTTTAGTTCATACGAATCATTACACCGGAACACAAGTAGATTGTCCGATTCAAATCGCAATGAACAAAACCGTGACTGTGAATCCAGACCAAACCTTGGAGAATCATCCGTGTGAAGTCTTTAATCATAGATTCCGGCAACTTTCTGTCGGTGTAAATGTAATTCTCCATGAAAGCGTTTAAGCTACCTAATGCGTATTCGAGAAGCAATTTGTGGACTTTGTTTCCGTAGGAGCTGAGACCTTGTTCCAAATTATCTCCGAAACATTTAACTATTCTTGGACATCCTCTGAGCTTGCGTAAAATCTGTAACTCTCTTTGAAGACTGTCGTAGTCGGCGGAGTAAGAGTTATTTACGGCGGCGCTAAAAGAGGAGCCGTCGGGATTAGTGTATCTGACGAGATGAACGTAACCGTAAGCACCTTCACCATGAAATCTCACGAATTCTTCATTCGATTGCATCATTCTCTTTTCAGTTTGCAAAACGGAACTTGCTTTTCCTAGGGTTTCTAATAGAAGAACACTAATTATAGAAAATATCTTCATTAATTCAATAATAATTACAATTAGTCACTATTTATACTACTAAAGACACTTAAATGACTAAGCTAAGCTAGATATTTACATAATATCCTATACTCTAATAGTCCCCTTCAAGATGGTATCATAAGATTGTGAAGACCCATCTTGGACATAAGACGATGAAACATAGTGGGATAGAGAGGTTTGGTGAAGGAATCAGCCAACTGATGATCTGAATTGACATGGAGAGTCTTCAGAAGACCGGCCTCAAGCTTTTCACGAAAAGAATGGCAGTCCTTCTCTATGTGTTTTGTGCGTTCGTGAAAGACCGGGTTCTTGGCTATGTGCAGAGCAATGGTGATGTCACAGTAGGGAACCGGAGTAGAAGGCGAGGGAACGCCTAATCAGAAAGCATGCGAGAAATCCACATGATTTCATCGGCCGTGAAGGACAGAGCTGTGTACTCAGCTTCAGCAGAGGACTTAGAGACAACTTGCTGTTTCTTCGATTTCCAAGAGATGAGAGACTGACCAATGAAAACGCAAAAACCACTGACCAAACGACGAGTATCAGGGCATTGGGCATAATCAGAACCGCAAAAAGCCTTGACCTGGAATCATTATCAGCTGGATAGAAGAGACTCTGACCAATGGTACCTTTTAAGTAGTGAAGAACTCTGTGAGCAGCCTTCAGATGAGCGGTGCGTGGAGCGGAGGAGAACTGACAGATTTTGTTCACTGCGAAGGAAATGTCAGGACGAGTGATGGTGAGATACATTAGCTTCCCAACCAAGCGACGGTAAACTTCCGCATCAGGTAAAAGATCGCCAGATTCCGAAGATAGTTTGTTGCTAGGATCAATCGGAACATAAGATGGCATACAACCAGTGAGACCACTTTCACGGAGAAGCTCCAAAACATACTTGTGCTGACCAACAGAGATACCAGAAGAGGAACAAGCAATTTTAAGACCCAAAAAATATTTCATCTCACCCAATCACGAAGTTTAAAATGATCTTGGAGGGACACAACAAAGTCAGCAACTGCACTCTCACGGCTATTTGCGACGAGGATGTCATCAACATACACCAGTATAGCCATGTAGGTGGAGTCAGTAACACTGAGGAACAATGTGTGATTGCCATGGATCTTCTGAAACCCAAGGCCAATGAGAACAGAGGAAAACTTCAGGAACCATTGTCTTGATGCCTGTTTGAGACCGTAGAGAGACTTCTTCAGCCGTAAAACTGCATTAGCTGGGATTGAGTCCCCCTTTCTTTCAGCGTATCCAGGAGGTAAATCCATATATATCTCCTCAGTTATATCACCATTCAAGAAAGCATTAGAAATGTCCAGTTGATGAAGGATCCAACCTTTCTTGGCGGCAAGAGCAAGAATCATCTTGACAGTAACCATTTAAGCAACAGGAGAGAAAGTATCCACGAAATCAATACCCTCCTGTTGAGTGTAGCCCTTAGCCACTAAACAAGCCTTATGGCGCTCAAGAGTGCCATGAGAGTGAAGTTTCAACTTAAAATCCCATTTGCAACCAACCGTTTCTTTTCCTTCATGTAATAAGCAAATATCCCAAGTATTAAGACTTTCCAAAGAACCAAACTCCTCATCCACAGCCTTACACCACTCCTTGGACTTCTTAGCCCCACAAAAAGTTAAAGGTTCATAACAAAGAAGAACGGAATTGATAAAGGCAAAATGAAGAGAAGAAAATTTATTATAGGAAAGATATCGGGAAAGAGGATACAAGGAAGTAAAATTGTAGTGGTAGTCCTGTAAGTAAATTGGTGGTTTGCGGGTTCGGGAAGATGAAGATGTGTTCACGAAGGGTAAACGATCATCAGGGTTCACATGAAAATGAAAGAAAGCTTTTGCTGTGTCAGAAACAGAGGAACCAGCAAAAGGAAAAATATTTTCATGAAAAAACGACATGTCGAGAAACGGTGATGCTATTGGTTTCGAGATCCAGAACTTTGTAACCCTTGAATCCTGCGGGATAGCCTAAGAACACACAAGCTTTGGCACGAGGATTAAATTTAGTACGACCCTTTGGAGAAGTGCTTTTGTAACAGAGGCATCTAAAAGTTTTAAGTTGGTTATAGGCAGCAACTTTGGAAGTGAGGATTTCAAAAGGAGTTTTGTTGCCAATAACAGGAGATGGGATTATGTTTATAAGAAATACAGCAGTAAGAACACAATCTCCCCAGTAAGGAAGAGGAATGTTCGACTGAAACAACAAAGCTTGAGCGACATTAAGAATGTGTTGGTGTTTACGCTCAACAATAGAGTTTTGTTCTGAGGTTTCTCGGCAAGAATGAAAGGGAGTGATGCCTTTGTCTTTCAAGAGTTGGGTAAAAGAGAGTTCAGGAGCATTGTCGGACCTAACAGATTTGACTCGCCTATTAAATTAGGTCTAAATAATAGTAAAAAAAGATGGGAAAATATGCAAGATATCAGATTTTAAATGCATCAAGTAAACCCAAGTCGCACGACTATGATCATCAACAATGGTGAGAAAATAGCGAAAACCTTCAGGTGTAACATCAGAAAAAGGAACCCAAACATCAATATGCAATAAAGCAAAATGTTCATCACTGACTGTATTCGAAACCGGAAACGACAAACGCTTTTGTTTAGCTAGATGACAAACTTCACAATGAGGACTAGCAGACTTAGAAGAAGAAAGATGCAAATGAGAAGGTAACAAATCTATCTTATAATGCGCAGGATGACCAAGGCGAACATGCCAAGTATCTGCATCTGCAATGCTAGAAAAAACTAGCTTATTACCTGAAACAGATGCAGGAACTAAAGAACCAGACTCCAAAACATAAAGATTCGAAATGCATCTACCCTTGCCAATCATCAATTCTTGAGTAAGATCCAGACACTTTAGAAGTGGATGGTACAGCTAAAGTGGAGGCAGGAAGTCCTTCTGGCGCAGGGTAGGCGGTGTAATGCTGTGGTTGTGAAATTGAGTACTAAAGTAAGCAATAAATTGTTACATCTGATCAGGAGTGAGAGCAGCAGGAGGGAAATTCGCAGAATTAACTGAGGGAGCAGATTCAGTTGGAGACATAGGGGATTCAGAGTTGATAACCAAGTTGGTGGAGGCAGAAGGCTTCTGAAAACGACCTTTGTATTTCATACCCGGAGGATAACCATGCTTCTTGTAGCACCGATACACGATATGACCAAGGCCACCACAGTGAGAGCAAACTGGTCGTGGTTTCTGAAACGCAGAGACAGAGGGATTAGAAGCAACCTGAAAAGCCGAAGGTTCAATACCAGAATTAGGCACGAGACGAGCAGAACGCTGAGAATCATCGTTGTCCAGGAATGTTGAAAACTTCAGAGAGACTTGGAAGGGTTTTCTTCATGAGAATTTGGCTCCTGATGTTGTCAAAACAATCATTAAGATCCATGAGGAAGTCAATAACCCGATTAGTCTCTCTCTCAGCAAGGAGATCTTCAGCGGTTCTGGAGGTGACCTGAAGACTCGAGAGCTCCCCAGTAAGTCTGAGTCTGAGTATGATAGGAGGAGAGATCCATGGTTCCCTGACGAAGAGAGTGAAGCTGGTGATGGAGTTTGTACAATCGGGGAAGATTAGATTTATGAAACCTAGTGTTCACATCCTTCCAGATATCAGCAGCAACACGGAAGTACATAATACTAGCATAGATCTTCTTCGAAACGCTGTTAAGCAACCACGATTTAAACATTGAATTGCAACAACACCAAATTTTGTAGTAAGGATCAGTCTCAGCAGGGATAGGGATAGATCCATCAATAAATCCTATCTTATTCTTAGCCTCAAGACTTGTAGTCATGGCAACAAGCCAGAGACCATAGTCCGTACCATCTAGAAGCTCAGAAGCTAAAACTAGACCAGGGTGATCGGAACTATGAAGGTGAAAGGGGCTATGGATGTTATCAGGAGAATCAGATACCTCAAAGCTCTGAGAGAAGCAAGTGATGGAGAGAGGGTTTGTAACGCCCCCGATTCAGTCTATAAATAAATCAACTCGAGTGTGTTACAACTGAGACCTAGTCGAGTTCAGACCTGAGTCCCGGAGGGGATCCTTGACTCATATCCGGTCCCTACTAGTTCCCTTTACCAGAGAATTCAATATACTAAGGCTTTGCAACCCGTATTATGAAAGCTGAGTTGTGTTCGTTCGGACAAAACAAATATCATCCAAACAAGCCATCTTTAAATAAAACATAATTTTTCCCATTTATATTTTATTAAAGATGAGATTTTATAAAACAAACAAAAAGGTTTTAGCCATGGCCTAATGCCCAAAATCAAACAAAATAGGTGGGGGTTCTAAAGTCATATTTCTTACAAATTAAAATTTTACAAAAGCCAAGGGAAATCTACTCCAGTGCCTAACGTTCCACGCTACCTCCAGGTTGGTCTAAGGGTTTCCCTGTAAAAAATAGTCATCATAAGTAACCTAATGTTACTTAGTGAGTCTAGGACCCTCTATACAATAAGTTTTCTCCCCCACTCTAAAATTAAGAAAAGTACTACCAAAGTACGCATAACTCATCTAATTGGTAACACACATAGTCGACCAACGAGAAGAGAGAAGCGGAAGCAAACAACACACAACAAGCAATTATATCCTAATGACTCCTATATGCATGCAATAACATCCATGTTATGAATGCATCCTAATATGCATTTTTAGGCCTCTAATGCATGTTGATACTCCCCTCACGCGATATCCGTTCTAGAAATCACACAGAAGTCTATTACCGGAAATCTCGCCACCGTTATCCGTTACATTCACGGAACTCACGGTACTTGTGCTCAAGTCACCTGACAAGAACACAAGCTTAACTCATACTGTCATACTACCACTCGGCCAAGGGAGCTACCCAAGTATATCCGAGCCTTCCCGCACCGCAGGGTATGAGGAGTACCAAGACATGCCCTAAGATCATGATTTACGCCAAAAATCAAATGATCTGTCTATCCTAAGAGTCACCAAGACTCTAAATGCAAAAGAATCTATAGCCCTTGCTATATTCTTCAACAATGGATCATAACCTCATCGTTATGTCCATGAAACCTATAGCCCTTGCTATGTTTCACCCATATGAACCCATAATTAATACTATGTCCCATATGCACTCAGATTATAACTCTGAAGTTATAATCCTACCAAAACTAAAAGAAAACCAAAGAAATAAATAAAAGTTACTTTGGGACTCATACCCACAAGTAACACCTAAATTTCTAGTCGTCATGTAGTCTAGTCATGAGAACACCTTTGGATCGCATGTTCCATGAGTTCGATTATACATGCAAACCTAGAAATTATAAAAACATCTAAGTTTTACATGAGATCTAATTCGGGAGAAACACCTTTGGATCGCATGTTTCATACCGAGATCGATTCTCATAAAAACAACTAAACTAACTACACTACCGAGACTCACAGATTTAATGATGGTGTAGACGCTTGACACTCCAAACTCTAGACCTTCTCCTAAGCTCTCGTTTATTCTACGAACCGCTCACCGTACTATTCTCCATCTCAAACCTTTTTACTAAACTTAGGAAAGAGAAATGAAGAAAATAGTTTACAATGTGGTGAGGGAGGGGTATTTATAGTGGCGGAGGAGACAAGTGTGGTGGTTGGTCTTCCATTGATCGCAAAGCACCTTTCGAACATGTAGGGTCTCTTGTGACACTTGTCGTGGACTTTATTTACTTAGAGAGGAAGGAATGTGTTTTGTGACACTTGTTTCACTTCTTGACACTTGAAAATAGAACCTTCCATTCTCCATAGGTTGTTGGACACCTACTTCCTTTTGTGACAAGTGTTGTCGACAAAAAGGCACTTTTTGTCTTCTCAAAGTGATCAACTCGACCATAAACCAAACCGCTCGATCGAGTTGGTTGTCGTTCAGCCATAAATTTTTCTGACCGAGGTTTTCATTCCGGCCGGGTTTGTCCGTGTTCGAGCGTGGGACGCTCCGAAGTCTTCCGTGTCATCCAAAAATGTTGTGGTTGGGGTCTTCTCATAACCTCTTTTAATTTTTGGGCGGGTTGGAGGCCTTGTGTGGGCTGAACGCATTTACCTCGATATGGGGGATATTACAGGGTTGACGGAGACAGTCGCAGCACGATCGGAGGATCCAGAGGATTCACGACGTGAGGAATTGCCTCAGAGATGATCGGGAGGCGAAGGAGGGTCAACCGATGGTGGACGCGATACTTGGAATTACACTTTTGTTTCCCCATGATTGTTAGATCGGAGCTAGAAATGAAGATCTCGTAAGAGAAAATCCAGATTCCGAACGATCAGAGAGGAGGATAGAAGATAAATCGTGAAAATCCAACAAATGAGCTGAAAAACCCATAAATGAGAATCGAGAAAACGAAGCAGAAGAGAGATCGATTTTCAAGGAGAATAAAATCAAAGAGAAATGACTTATCGGAAGAGAAGATCCGGTCAATCGAGGTCAATGATCGGAAGGAATGAAGACGGAAAAAGAGGATACGATGAGCTAGAGTTCACCGCTCTGATACCATAATAGAAGAACACTAATTATGGAAAATATCTTCATTAATTCAATAATAATTACAATTAGTCACTATTTATACTACTAGGCGGCGCGGGTTGTGTTAGTTTTAATGTTTTTCTGCAAATTTAATATTGTTTCAAAGATATTATACATGTAGTACTACTTAAATATAATTAGAGTTAGGCAAAAAAATTGTACCATCTTGTTCTATCTCGTCCCATTTCGTTCATTTTCATCATGTACGTTTTTTTCCCGTCCCGTTCGTCATTTATGTCCCGTCCCGTTCAGTCCTATCCTATCCCATTATGATTCTTTCCATTTTGTTTATTATAGTCTCGTTCCCTATATATAATTAGGGGTAGGCATAATTCTATCCCATTACGTTTCTTTTCATCTTATCATGTTCTTTCTCATCCCGTTCGTTATGCCCGCTCCATCCAGTCCCATTATATCTTATTATGTTTATTTCCATTTTGTCGTATCTCTATCTCGTCTCTAAATATAATTAGGGGTAGGCAAAATTCCCGTCCCATTCCTTCCCATCCCATTATGTCCTTTTTCATCTCGTCCCGTCCAATCCCATCACATTCCATTTCTTTTCATTTTGTCATGTCCAACATTTCTATCTTGTCCTCTCTCATCATGTTTCATTTTTTAATTAGAGGTATGCGAAATTTCCATCTTGTCCTATTCCGTTCTTTTCCGCTCCTTTAGATTTCGTCTCGTCACTTAATATCAGAAGTAAACAAAATTGCCTTCTTCATAATATTTCTCTTGTTTTATAGAAATGACTTTTCAAATTCTTGCAAAAACTATTGTATTATTTAATGATTATATTAATGAATGATCATAAATAATTAAAATATAAGAAGAGAAAATATAATAAATCAAAATTAATAAATAGAATGCTGACGTAGCGAATTGGTGAATTTAGAGGCAACCTTTTTTGGTGAAGTGTCACCACCAGAAGAAAATTGTATAAACTTTATATATATAGATAGACACTTAGTAAAATGACTAAGCTAAACTAGATATTTACATAATAACTTGTACTCTAATAGTTCTTCTAATTAGTAACTGAATCACTGAAAAAATAGTTGCAGCGGATAAACTGTGGAAAAGAAAATTGTGGGAGTGAACAAAAAAGGAAAATAATTGTAGTGAGTGAGAAGAGATGCGGGACTTTTATAGAGATTGTAAACTAATTGAAAACGGAAATTTGCAACTAGTAATAGAAAAAAGGAAACTTTGAGTTGGATTAAGTTGTTTTTTCTTAACGTTCATTTATTTAGTAGTAATTTTTTTTCCACATTAAGATTAAGAGATGTCACCGTGACTGTCTGTGAGTCAAATTATCTTCTTACCTTTATCCGGACAAAAAAGCTGAAAAAAAAGAGCATAAGAGGATTTCAAAGAGTCAAAGAACGGTTGGGATTTTTGTTTTCCATATAAATTTCATTAGATTGCTAAAGTGCAAAGAGGATTACAAGGTAAAATACGAAACACCAATGCACACATTATTGCATAAACAGCTATATGCGCCATATATTGAACAACGGTTTGTTAGAGATGAAATTAGCACATTTCCTTGAGCCCGTCACAATTAGTAGTATCATAAAGCCTGAGTCCGACCTTAGCCCTAACTTCCTTAGCAAAATGGCAAGTCTTGGGGAAGAAGGCAAAATATTTGGGAAAATGTAAAGAAAGGTTCATGCCGACTCGAATAATGGAAAGAAATCAAGGACAAGAGGAAGTTTTCCAATTCAACAAAGAGAAAAATATTCATGAAGAAGCCGACCTCTCATCACTATATAATGAAGACTCCTCATTCCTGGAAAAGAATCCGAAATTAGCTGCAAGAACCCTAAGTAGTAGCATTCTCTATCAGTTTTATCTTGTTTTCATTCATCGTCTTGTCAAGCTTGTTTGATGAGACCAAATCCTCCTGTAATCTTTCGATTATCTTCGAGTAAAAGTTCTCAGTTCCTAGAAAACTCAATCTTTGATACCCGTTGCCGACGTGTGCTATCTCAGATCTCACACGGTTGAGATTAAGTAAGCTAAGAAGCAAAGAACATTTAAACATTCAACAAATTCTTCAAAGAAAAAACTATATAAACAGTTGAATGTCGTAACGTTAAACATTATTTTTCTATCTGTTAACAACACACATTTATTAAAAAAAAAAAATTAAAAGAATTTGCAAGTTTGGATTTTGAACTTTTGAGCTTAGAAGGTTGAAGCTTTTAAAGCAAACCACTTGTTAATATGTTTGATGCCCAAAGTTCTAGTTTGTGGGATTTTATCCCATGATAGGGCCTCCCCAGATTTATCTATTTAAATGTTGTGAGGTTGATTCTATTTTCAGTATTAAGCTGGTTTAGCTGGATCAGAGAAATAAGGATTTACTCTAATGGAAAAAGAAATCAAAGACAAAAAGGAAAAAAAAAGTGAAGACTTTTCCTCAAAAGTGCAACTCCTAGTGGCGATATTTGTTTTATTCTTCTAGAAATTCAGCTCTTCTCTCTTCTTTTCTCTTTCTACCACAAATTTCATGTTGACTGATTCTTAAAACTTAATTTTAGAGTTTTATAAATAACTAGATTAGGTCCCGCGTATACGCAGGATTTATAATTTAATGTTTTACATGTTGTAGAAAAAAATACTGAAAAAAAAAATCAATCAATATTAAAATTAAGTAAAATAAGAAAACTGCACTATTAGAAATCATTTTTTAAAAAATATGTATAATTTTCTAAATTAATAACTGAATTATAGTCATAATTCAAATAAAACTTAGTTAAAGAACATGTTATAGTAACAAATTGCTTCTCGGTTTATCTTAACTACAACATGTATCATAATCAGAACGATATTTTTATCTTTTATCACACAATAAATTTTTTCAAAAAGATTAACCTTTTTATAATTATTTGTTTTCTTTTTTTTCCTACTGTTGATTATACTTTCTTCTGAGTTTTTATTTTCGATAAATATTATCATCTCACTCCATTTTTTTTTTCATAAGGATTAACATCTTATTGCCTTTCTATCTACTTTCTATTGCTCCTCAATCCATCTTAACCATACCGCTTGTTATAATCAGATTATCTTTTCATTTTTCAATAAAGATTAACATTTCTATAATTTTTTGTTTCTTTGTTTCCTACTGTTGATTATATTTTCTTCTATTTTTTACTGTTTTCAAGTAAATATCACATTTTTTCGTTCTCTACAAGAATTAGCTATTTTAATTATTTGTTTTCCTTTTTTTGATATTCATTGTTTTTCTTATGATTATTTTTCCATTTATTTTCCTTTTTCCATTGGGATTAACATTTTATTTCATTTTACTGTCAATTTTTTAATGAACAAATTTTATTATTTTCTTTTATGACACATGTCACGAT